GGAATTTCTTTTAGGCTTTCTTTATTCCCTTTTGTCTGGCTGAAATTTTATTTATTTTTTTTACAGCTTATCAACTCTTTGTGGGTTATTTAAAGCCAAAATACATTTTAGATTAGGAGGTCACTTACAGTACCCAGTGTTCCCAAGCGGTCACCCATCTAAGTACTGACCAGACTCAACACTGCTTAACCTCAGTGAGTAAATGCATTTTCAGTGTGATTTAAATATAAGCAACCAAAGATTTTCCCACAGTAGGTTGCTGCTTCTTTTTGCAGTAGTGGTTGCAAACCAAGTCTATAGGGCCCAGTCTCCGTTGCTATTAAACCCATAGCTCAGGGGAAGAAGAGATTCATACCTTTCCCAAATGTATTTTTGTACACAAGTAAATGTAACAAACCCAACTGGAATTTGAACTCAACTTTGATTTCTCATTCCGTGGTGATATCCATTAAACCACAACTTTCTGATCCCGATCTTCCATATTTACTAATGAGTTTTTTTTTTTTTTTTTTCAATATTGAAGGTATAGTTAGATCTAGTGACAAGACCCAAGGAGTGTTAGTTCAATACCTGGTTAAGGTGGTGGAGAACTTGGAGAGGGGGATTAACAAGAGATAACGGATAACTGACATCCATTAGACATGGCACATGGAACTAGAACAGTCTACTCTAGCAAGCGAAATAAAGGGTCCAGTTTGACATTCCAACCCCCTGAAGAAGGCCAGAGCGTACAACGGCCGAACCGTTGTGATAAATATGGCAACAAAAATGAGGACAATAGTCAGAATAATGTAAATAGTGTACATAATACCTCATCTCAGAAATATAGACAGATACTGGATATTTTTGCTTTGATTAATTTAAAAAGCTGAATTCTTTCATACTTGTAAAAAATGTTAATTGTATAGATAGCAGAATTCTTGCTAGTGAGTAGAGGAGATCAGGTTGCTAATACAGTACATTTTATTTCTTTCATTTGGTATTAACTTCCTTTGGATATTTTTGCTTGGTATTCAGCTTTTTAAAACATTCATTCTTACATGTGACAATAAAGTTAATTGTACAGATAACAGAATTTTTTCCAGTGAGTTGAGGAGACCAGGCTACTAATACATTGCCTTTTATTGCTTTTGTTTTTGTGTTAATTTCTTTTGGATATTTTTACTTTTAGTTATTTAAAAATCTGATTTCTTTCTTAAACGCAACAATGGAGTTATTTGTATGGATAAAAATACTTGAATACTCTGCCGAAAATATAATCAGTGTAATTTGGAAATTACTTAAACATGGCTGTGATGTTTTCTTTGTCTTTGTTGTTGTTGTCTTTCTCCTGTTGTTGTTGTTGTTGTTGTCTTTCTCCTGTTGTTGTTGTTGTCTTTCTCCTGTTGTTGTTGTTGTCTTTCTCCTGTTGTTGTTGTTGTCTTTCTCCTGTTGTTGTTGTTGTCTTTCTCCTGTTGTTGTTGTTGTCTTTCTCCTGTTGTTGTTGTCGTCTTTCTCCTGTTGTTGTTGTCGTTTTCTCCTGTTGTTGTTGTCGTCTTTCTCCTGTTGTTGTTGTCGTCTTTCTCCTGTTGTTGTTGTTGTCGTCTTTCTCCTGTTGTTGTTGTCGTCGTCGTCTTTCTCCTGTTGTTGTTGTTGTTGTCGTCTTTCTCCTGTTGTTGTTGTTGTAGGTCGCCGTTTTCTCCTGTTGTTGTTGTTGTTGTCGTCTTTCTCCTGTTGTTGTTGTTGTCGTCGTCGTCTTTCTCCTGTTGTTGTTGTTGTCGTCGTCGTCTTTCTCCTGTTGTTGTTGTTGTTGTCGTCGTCGTCTTTCTCCTGTTGTTGTTGTTGTTGTTGTCGTCGTCGTCTTTCTCCTGTTGTTGTTGTTGTTGTCGTCTTTCTCCTGTTGTTGTTGTTGTTGTTGTCTTTCTCCTGTTGTTGTCTTTCTCCTGTTTTTCATTCCTTTTTCTTAATTTTGCTGGACAAGAAAACTTATTTGTAAGTAGCCATTAGATCCTCACATGAATATTTTTGCCTAATGAGGATTAACTAACTTGCTTTTAGTTTCTCTTGGTGATTACACATGACTTTGTCAATCCCCCTTTGTCTTTCTTTGTCTTAACAAAAGGCCAATCTTAGATCTGAATAAACCCATTTGATCTGAAGAGGTGATTAAGCTTACATTAGCAAATATTTGTAATGGATCAATTTCTCGGCACAAAAGGATTCATTGTAGTCTGTTGGACTGTATTTAACTCGTCTGTTTTTATTTTTGACCTTAAGAAATATTTCACATGAAACATTTGCAGTTCTCACTTTCACATGAGGATAAAAATAAAATATAAAACTATAAAATGTAAGACTAATAAAATACGTAAAAAATACACATGATAATCAATCCCAAACTATTTTTTCAAAACTGCTGAATATAAATGTCAAATAATTATTCTGATTCTCTCTTCCATCTGCCATGTCTCTTCAGGATATAGCCAATCATAGCTCTCCACAACTTGTCTTTTGTTACTCTGAGTAAGGTTTTCCTTTTTGCTTTCCTTTGAGTCCCTGTTCTGCATGTGGTGAAAAAGGTGGACATGACTGTAGTAGAACAAGTGAAAAGCAGAGACTTACCAGTCATCTTCCAAAGAGATGCTGAATAGCCTGTAAATAGTATAGACAATTATACATATATATCTCTTAAGGAGATATATATGTATAATTGTATATAATAGAAAGAAAGACCTGTGAAATTGCCAGTTTTCCTATTTAAATTTTCTGATGAATCTTAATTCTTAAGTTAATGACTGAATAAGCTCATGGCAAATTCTATAACAATAAAATATCTGTAGAAGTTCCCCTATTGCATCATTAAATATTTGAGCTTAACAACTTTAACGAAATATTGAAATAACAATCATAAATATGAATGTAGATCATTATTTCAAGAGGTGGGTACAAATGAAAAGATTTGAAATTGACAAATTTTTCCATTTCACTGAAACAGACAATAAACTCTTCTATTTTCTCTTTTTTTTCTTTCATTCAGTTTTTCACTGAAAGCAAGTAGTGTCTTTTCCCCTCTTTCCACACATTCAAAATGGAATAGTTCATTATATATGAGGTATTGGTAAGGTGTAATGGTCGTGCAAACTAACAAAGGAAAGGACAAGCACAATTATAACTGGAGATATATATGTATTTATATGTATGTATTTATATATACTGAGTGGTGAGTCTTTCATCTTGAACATAATATTTAAGCTATGTGTTTTGGCTCAACTATTTATATATTGTGGTATAGCCCTCAGTGTTAACTGTTAAATCAGAAGTACAATAAATTTCATAATGGATGTTTGTGCTTCTTCTCCTTCTCCTCACTGAGTCATGTTTTGGTTAAGAGAGGGCAGGAAAGGAATTTGGGCTCACTTGACAAGAAACAGAATGACCTAAGAAATAGCAGGAAAGGAATTTCAGGTTCCTTGGCAACAAATGGAATGACCTAAGAGAGTGAGTACGAATTGGTCACCTATGCTCACGTGACATACATCACCAAGTGGGATTTTGGTTTAGTTTCTCTGATAACAAGAGTTTGTGAGAAAAATAGGCTCTAATCATGTGATCATAAGGGATGAGAAATGCACCTATAAGCCTATTCCATTAATTGTGTTGGGAATAAGGAAATTTTGTCTTGGAGATCTTGGGTCTATTTGACTATTTAATAGGTAAAAAATAAATGAATATGCTGTCTCATCTTTTTGGCTGTTTTTCTTTTCATTGCAAACTTTATTAATTATTAATGATTGTGTTATTTATCTTGCACTTTAACAATGGCTTCTAACTCATCAGAGCATATATAAATATAAAAGTGAACATTAAAGTCAACACCCATCAGTGACTGTTTCATGCTTAAACACAATTGTCAGGACAATATAATCATGAAACGGACTGTTACTGCTGGGTGTTGACTTCAATGTCCACTTATATAAAAAGTGGACAGAATATATATCGGAACAATTTTTGTTAATTAAATGACAAAATGGAACATGCAAGATAAATTCTGGAGATAAAAATTGTCTGGCCCAACACCATGAATGGACTTTCCTAGCAGCAGACCTAGCAATTAATTCAATATAATCTTTACACTTTATAACAGCAGATTTTAGATCACTTTTGAGATCAGCTGCCAAAATGACCTTCTTAAACCAATCAGACTTACTATTAAGACAGGTGTAAATAGTTGTCATCAGCATAGATACAGAGTTGAGAGCTGAAGCCATCAGGAAGGTCAGTGATGAAAGTTAGGAACAACTTAGGTTCAAGGTTAGAGCCTTGGAGGACACCAACATTAAAGAAAAAAGACCTGGAAGAGTGGCCATCCAAGACAACTTTCATTTTGTGATTTGATGAGAAGACTGAATCTATTCAAAAATTCATCCAGAAATATCATAATCTTTTAACTTGTTTAAAAAGCCAGTATGCCAAACCCTGTCAAATGCTTTTGAGATGTACAAAACAACATATGCATAAAAAAAAAAAAAAAAAAAAAATGAGTTTTGCTTCCTGCTTAAAATATGCATGCTTATAAAAAAAAAAAAAAAAAGAAATTTATAAATAGGAGGCGTTACTTTTGGAACATTCCTTGTATTAAAATTTTTTCTTCCTGTTATCTCGTTGACTTGACATATTAAAAATCTCTTTTGTATGTAAACAAGTTAATCAACATCTCAAAGAAAGTTAGTCTCCGCTTTAAATAGTTTGTTTGATTCATTTTTTTTTTATTAACTTTTGCAGGTTTAAAGCCAGAAAATATTTTTAGGTTATAACAATTTTTTTTCTTTTTGTTTTTTGAGATAATGGTTTCATGATACAAGTGTTACTAATTAACCCACAGCTGCTGGGGGAGAAGTGAATTCCTACCTTTCCCAAAGGCATCTGTGCATAAATGAATATAATGAACCTGACTGGAATTGGAATTTGGCTCTCTGATTAACAATTCCAAGCCATTATACCACCTTCAAATCCAAGCTTAGAGCACCAGGTATTCCTAAGTGTTCACCCATCTAGGTACTGACCAGGCTTGATGTTGCTTAACTTTGGTGATCATATGAGAATCAGTGTTGTGGCTGTAAGCTTCTTTCAATCGTAATTAACATGGGCATTGAGTGAAAAAATAAATACTAGTCTCAATTTTTTTTTTTAAAAACTGATTTTTCATGTTAATGTGCAGAAGCACATTAACATGAAAAATCAGTTTTAAAAAAAAAAAAAAAAAATTGAGACTAGTATTTATTTTTTCACTCAATGCCCATGTTAATTTTGAAAAATTTTCACTCAATGCCCATGTTAATTTTTCAACATTTTGAAAAATCAGTTGAATAAATAAAATAATAATAAAAAAAATTGGCCTTATTCTTATTTTTAACATTTTTAATTATTTATTTTACTGGTGATGATTTGTCTTCTGCAAAGATAACATTTTTTTTTTTTTTTTACGATGTGGCAATGTTTAAGTGGAATGTGCAGAATGTGAGATCAGCATGTAAATTCTCGTCTGTTATGTTGAATTCACTTTCACACTGAAATAATGCTTAAGTTTTAGACTCATTTGATGGTTGTCATACTTTTAAGTTTCATGATGAGAAAAAAAAGGAAATGTGTAAATAGAAGGCATTACTTTTGGAGCATCCCTGGAACTTAATTTATTTTTGTTCTCTTATCACGCTAACTTGTAAGAAAACACTGCTGTCTAGAATGAGCTAATTTAGAAGTATAATATTTTCCCCTCTAAATACAATAAAATCTATTTTGCATGTAAACAAGTTAATCAAAATTTCAAAGGAAGTTAGTCTCAGGTTTCAATACTTAAGGATTGGTATTTGTATGAAAATAAGTATACTTGGGTAATTTTTTTTTCTTTTAGCAAAACCTTCAGTTGTTGGATTGTATATCATTTTTTTCAACTTGATTTTTCAGTTTAATGTACACAACTGGACATTTTTAAAAAATCAGTTTTCTTATATGAATAAGACCACATCATTAAAAAAATCTTATATTTTTGCAAAGACAAATTTTCAGTAGTAAAATAAATAAAAATTATTAAAAATAAGAATTTTAACCTCACATTAAAAAAACACCTATTTTATAAATTTTTGGTGTTTTTTTTAATGTAGAGTTAAAATTCTTATTAATTTTTTTTCTATTTATTTATATTATTGCTGAAAATTTGTCTTTTGCAAAAACATAACATTTTTCTTCAAATTGTGGTCTTGTTGAAAATGGATGTGCAGAAAGTGTAATCATCATGCAAATTCTGGCTTAGTCCGTTGTGTTTACTTTCACACTGAAATAATCTTAATTTTTAGATGCCTCTGAGGCTGGTCACACTTTTAACCTTCAAGCTAATAAAAAAGAAATGTGTAAATGGGAGTCATTACTTTTGGAGCATTCCATGTATTTAATTTTTTTTTTTTTTTTTCATTTTGTTATCAGGCTAACTTGTAAAAAAAAAAAAAAAAAACACTACTGTCTGGAATGAGCTTATTTACAGGAGTAATATATTCTACTTGAAATACAATAAAATGAAAATCTGTTTTGCATGTAAATAAGTTAACATCTCAAGGCAAGTTAGTCTCAACTTTCAGTAGTAATTGACAAGAATCAGTACCTCTGGAAAAAAAAAATAGTTGGGTAATTTTTTTTTGTAACCAAAATCTTTGCAGTTGATAGATTTATATACATATAATTTTTTTTTTTTTTTTTTTTTTAAAAACTGATTTTTCCACGTCAATGTGCACAAATCAACTTTGAAAAATCAGTTTTCTTGAACAAATAAATTAGTTTCTCTTTTTTTTTTTTTTTTTTTTTTTTTAAAGATGACTTAAAATTCTTATTTTTAACATTTTTATTTATTCATTTATTTTACTGGTGATAATTTGTCTTTTGCAAAAACATATTTTTCGTTATGATGTGATAATGTTAAAATGGGATGTGCAGAAAGTGGAATCAGCATCCAAAACATAGTCTGTTGGATTAAATTTCACAGTGATGCTCTTTCGTAATTTATAAATTCATCTCTTCTCTCCACCAAGTTAGATTAAATAGCAGTGTAGCTTTGGTTTTCTAGCATTGTGTGGCAACCAGTCTAGGAGAAGTATTTGAATTCAAAATTGTGGAGACGGCAATTGGAAATGACAACGATATTTCCTAAAAAGTCCTGGCAATTCACTGATAAAGAAAAGCAATCTGTTGAGAGACATGTTCACCTACATCTGTCTTTTTCCGTTCTTTTTAGTCTTTTCCCATTGCCTTCGGTCTTTCCGTTGAAGCCTGGAAGAAACTTCCACAAGCGAAGTGCTAGAGAAGAAAACTGTTAGCATAGAACTTACGGCTACACCTATCAGTTTCAGCTGTAAAATGATCATTGCTAGCTGCCAATCTGGTACTGTGCTTAAATTTGTAAAGTCAAGGTACCAAAGAGGAAAACTCATCAGAAGAGTTACAATGAAAATATTTATAGAAAACAAAAAGGGAAGATATATTACAGTGGTGGGAAAATGACTAATGCCAAGTTAGAACCATAAATATTATACAGGTTCTTTACATTTTGTGAAGTTGGACCTTTCAGAGTCAATCATCATTCAAAATATAAAGGTAATTGATTAATAAAATCTCATTAGTGTTTAATAAACTAAATGAAAAATATCTCTATTACACACACACACACACACATATATATTTATTATGCAGTGTTACATTAGAACATGCACATACCCACTACAAAACTGTACATCTTTCAATGTTAAAAAAATTTTTTAATGTTGAAACAAGATGTACAGTTTTGTAATGGGTATGTGCATGTTCTAATGTAACACTGCATGATAAATATTTATTGTTCTACTTCTGTATTGACCCCTGTTTTAAATTAATGTTTTCATTTGGAGATATATATATATATTTTATGAAATGGACTAAAATTTGGCAATTATTTTAATATATTTTCTGTTTATACCTTATGTCCTGAATTTGACTTTGCTAACCAGATGCTTCCTCTGTAGATAAATGGTAGAGCAATGACACTTTTGTATAGGATACAGGTTTGATTCCTGTCAGAGGACACATATTTTCTATGAGATTTCTCAGACATTAGGACCAGTAAATGTAGTTAATATTGTTTATTAAAAACAGAACATTGAATTAAATATCTGTAAAAATAATGCATAAACAGGATATATATATATATATATATATATATATATATATATATATATATATATATATATAATATAATGATATGAAGAAGTATAGTTTTAAGGTGTGCTATATTTATGGGATAAAGTGCTAGCATGAAACAGTCTGTTGCCTCTGAGTGTTGACTTCAATGTTCCTTATATATATATATATATATATATATATATATATATATATATGTAAACAAATATATGGATATAAATCCGACAGTATGAAAAGAAAAATACAGAAAAAACAAAATTCTGAATATGCATTATTAATGTTAAAATAAAAGTCGAAAATATCGGACGTTTCGGTCTATTTAAGACCATCTTCATGGACATTTTCATTTTAAACATAATTAACATTATAACTTATAACAATTTAACACAAAAGACGATGGACATAAGAGCCCAACTAATTCAAACAGATAACTGAAATTTTATACATGTCGGATTTATATCCATATATTTGCTTACAAATTTGTCTACTGAAAATACAAACCTGAATTTACTTTATAACGTGGAAGATTTCAAGCTTGGACAAGAATAATAGATCAAGTAAGGAATGAAATTTTTATCGAACTGTTTTTAGAACTGTTGCATCGTTTTTGAAATCATTTTTTGGATTTGCATTGTAACAGGAAGGACTTTCAAGCTTGTTGAAGATATAAGAACCAATTGTTTCACTCGTATTCCAACATCAACGGAAGAGATTTCTTTAACTTTTTATAAAAATTTTTCAATCGACTTTTTTGATATTTTAATTTTTGAAATCATCTTTGAATACGTCTTAACAACATCGCCCACGAGACGACTTCGTGATCATATTTAAACAGAACGCTGATCTGTATAAAATTTCAGTTATCTGTTTGAATTAGTTGGGCTCTTATGTCCATCGTCTTTTGTGTTAAATTGTAATAAGTTATAATGTTAATTATGTTTAAATGAAAATGTCCATGAAGATGGTCTTAAATAGACCGAAACGTCCGACGTCGACTTTATTTTAACATTAATAATGCATATTCAGAATTTTGTTTTTTCTGTATTTTTCTTTCATATATATATGCGCGTGTGTCTGTGTGTGATAATAATACATAAATTTTTATATATCAAGAACAGTTTTGGAGGAAAAATGTATAACAAAGTGGAAAAAGTTTTCATGTGACACGTTTCATTCATTTGGACTTCATCAGACTAGGTTTATTTATGTTGATATGACTGTACATACACATGAATAAGACCCTGAGAATTTTAAATTTAGATAATTTTTTTTTTTAAATTTGATTTATTTAATGTGCTTTGGGTCTATAATCTAACCAATTTCATTTAGATTCTTTTTCTTTTTGTTTCCATCATCTTTGTTATTAAATATCCCACATTGTGATAATCGAAGATCTGCTAAGAATGGTGAAAAGTTGTATGAACCTGAATGCAAATTTACTGGGGATGAACTAATGATTAAAGCACTTTCTAAATATTTTTGTGAATTATTTTCTTTTTTAATTAGAGAAGCATTTTTTATGTCAAAATTGTGCTCAGTCTCGTTACAGTGAGCAACTAATGCATTTAAATGTGTTGTTTTTTTTTAAAATGTCACTTTTTCTCTTCATGTAATCATTTATTTAAACTTCTTGATGTTTCTCCAGTCTATTTTATCTGGCAATCTTTCTAGATGATTGAGTAAATTCCTCCTTCAAGTATTGACTAAATGTTTTTTGTATTGATAAGTCTTTTATTGTTCAGATATAGTTGTGACAAATTTTATGTTGAATTTAGATAAATTCTTTTTGATTGTAGTTGTGATAGTTAATGGTAATTCAGTGCAAAACAAAAGGCTCATAAAATATTCCAAAATAGAAAAGCGGCCCATCCTCACAAACCCCAAAAATGAA